GTTTGAATATCTAATTAAAAAATGGCATTATTTAAGATTAACTACATAGAAATAAACTTAGGGCGTAGTATTAGTGAAAGCAGGGAGGAAGAGGAACTAGTTTTTAGGGGCAACTTTATCATTTTGCGTAAAAGTTACAATATCTCTACCTGGGATGGCAGAATATTGGGCGCAGTAACGGGTCCATCTTTTCTTACAAGTTACTGATGAGCAAAATCCTGTGTCAAATGGCAAGCATGCAACTTCCCCAATGCAGCTGTGCACATCTGGAGGGGAGAACGCCGGCGCAGGCAGCCACAGAGGGGTCCATGGTCAGTGCTCATCAATTAACGAAGGAATTGACTGGTACAGCTGACTAAAGATCTTTTACTTTTTTTTTTTTTTTCCCTTAATCTGGTTGACATTTTACAACCTGCTCATTGAGAGAAACACATCTCAATAGATCTTTACTCTTATTGAGAACGCTTTTTGTGAAAAGTTTTGGAAACTGTTGAAACATTTTGTGCTGACAGTCTTTTAAGTGAAAAACACGCTTTTAAGATCAGTGGTGGTTTTTCACTTCCAGAGTTAAGCTACCTGAGGAAAAAGAATCAAGAACGGAAAAACATGAAAAGTAAAATAACACACTGCAGTTCACCCAAATAAAAGCATTTCTAAAACCACTAGCTTGCAAAATATTATACTTTACTTTTCATTCTGACTTGACTATTTTTTGAGCTCAAAAGTTTTTCCTGAGACAGAAACAATTTTCCTTCCTACTCTATCCAGAGGGACCAGTCAGAAAGAACACTCTGTTTTCTATTACTATTTCTGTCCCTAAGCTTTTTTCTTTCCACATTTCTTCTTTTATTTCCTTTTTTTTCACTTTCGTTTCCCTTCCTTTTCTTTCTTAAAATGCCCTATCTATTGCGAAACAGAGCCTGGAACCCAAGATTCTTTGCTCTTGCTTTCCTCTTTTCTTCTGTTTATTCAGAAGGAGTATGAAAAGAGCTATATTAAGCTGAAATTTTATTCTACTGTCCTCTGTTCAACAAAAGGTAGTCCACTAAAGCCACTAAATCACAGATAACACTTCTCTGGGCAACATTATTAGGAGCTGACAGCTGGTGATGGATGAAGATCTCATCTTTTACAGAAAAAAAGTACATTTAATTTCCTTTGTACATAAAATAGAGAGCACAGCGTTGTGTATCTAAAGATAAAAGGAGCCCCGGCGTATGCTGGGTGCCATACTTAAGGGGATATAATACCGGTGTGTTTCTGAGCTTACATTTCACAGGACATCTTCAAATTAATTTAGAAACCACTATTATTCAATTCTTGGTAGACAAAGAACTTTAAAAAAAAAAAAAAGGGTGACGTCTGACAGCCAGCTTCATTAGAAAAGAGCAGCTCAGAGACTGAGCTGTCAGTTTTCAGGAGAAACACTGGCAGACAGGACAGAAAGAGGAGGGAGAATGGGTCTGCAGGGCAGAGAGATGAGTTTATCCCTGACCCTGCCTGGGATTAAGCCATACTCCTGGGAGCCACTGGGCCTCCCTTGAGGTTGATACCATAATGGATTTGGTACCCAACACCCACCCCGGAGTTGGTACTGAACAGCAAGGATCCCATCAACTACCTTGAAACAGACACGCTAAATAAGTCTGGCCATTTTTACCATCAGCTGAAGCAGATGGAGCCAGACCCCAACATGCTGGGTGAAAGAGCATAAATTTCTTCTACAGAGGCACTGGCAATACACAGTACTCCCTTGTTTCTGGTTTTTGGATCTATGTATTATAATTTTTTCTCTAATGACCTGTGACTATGACACATACACTGCTTTTCTTTTCACATTTGCAATGTATAACCATACTTTACACGTCCTTTCTGCAGCAGGGCCAGCTGCTGCTTTGGTTGAATCTAATTTTAACACACCTCCCAAGCAGCATGGAGATGGTGAGGGTGAAACTTTAATTGCCTGTCTGTGTTAAGCAAGGGAGTTAAAACATGCAGTTAAAGCACATGTTCAACAAGAAAATATGGTCGGTCTGATTCCAGTGGAATGAAAGACTGCTTTGGGCTCCTGAGGTAAGGACAAGTTTAAGAAAAACATCTGCTTGGAGTTTTTGTTTCTAAGTCTAGAGACTATTTGTGTGTTGGCTGAGTCTGGCTGCAAGTCAGTAAGAAAAGAAGGCTCAACAGTAAGCAATTACCTTCCTTTAATTAAAACCTTCTAGTTAGCTAGTCTAAAATAGTCTGGATTTCTTTTTCTGAACCCTACTCCACTGAAGGACAAAAAGAGGTTTTCCACTGAAAACACTGACAAAAAGCAGCCTGTCTACTACTAAAACTTCATGGAAAATTCTTTGATCATCTTCATGTAAAAATAGTTATTCTGCTTTCCCTAAGACTTCAGATCATTCCCTTCTTTTCTCTGTTTCTTTATTCTCATTTTCTTCCACTGGACATAAAGTAGTAAGTAGCAAAGGATTATATTAGGCTTCCCAATTTCTTGCAGAAAGAAAAGTCTCTGGAAAATACAAGATACAAAAATGAAACTTGCCCTGGACTGGTGCTGGAAATTCAAACACAGAGACTCAGAGCAAATGCAAGATCATCAAGAAGTACAAGGGTCTATGTAGTTATTTCAGAAGGTGAAACCTACTGCTTTAAGTTTCACCTCTCCACATACGCATGCAGTTAAACAAAAAGTGTGCATATAAAACATCCAATGAGCAGTGGCCTTTAAATCACTCCAAGTTGCTGCTTCTCTGTGAAGAAAAGGATTTCTCCCTCTTCTTTTTGGGACTGGTCCCCAGCTGATGATGGGGTATGTTTAAGTTGTTTTTCAGAACTTTCTGCATTCTATATTCCGGTCTAAAATTCCCATGACTCATCTCTTATTACCCCATAACCTACCTTTTTTTTCTTTGGGTAGCTGGAGCCTTTTCCAAGACCTTGGAGGATCACTATTGGCAAAACTGTTCTCTGCGTCTTGAGTCTAAAAGTTTTTAACACCCAGCTGCTCATCCAGATGTCTTTAGCAGCTTTGAAATTCAACTGCTATGCTATTGAGCAGGTTTTGAAACCTTTTTTGGATCACAGTAGCTACAGCTTTCGCTAAGCCTCTCCTTCATCTGTGTTGTAGCTGAACTAAGATATTGAGCATTTTCTCTTTTGGGTCATCCATGACTCTGCACATTCAAAATGCTACAGGAGAAACACAGTCAATAAGCAGGATCCATCCATAGGGCTGATCTCATTCAAAGATCTGGTGAGCATTTTGGGCTGCAGATAGCTGCTGCTGGGAACCATCTGGCCAGACACCCACTGGTGCTCCCTATCCCTGGAGACAGGTGCCCCAGATTCCCTCCACTTCTATGTCCTACTGCTTTTCTTGTTATGGAAGATCCCAGAGACCAACCTTGCCACAGTTTCTTTGAGAGATAAACACTTTCTCCTTTACTGTCAAAATAAGGATTTTGAAACTGACTTTTCAGTCCAGGCACACACCAACGCCTAGCCAGATTTCCCTCTTTTATTTCTAATTTCAGCAACACTGACTAGATCTGGCTTCTTCAGTCCTCTCTTTTACCCCTTTAGTACTTCACATCTCTCACTAAAGCCTTGTTTTCATTCCCCTCAGACCGGTATATGCCAGTTATCAAAGAGGATGCCAAAATGCCAATCAGTGTCTCAGACTGACAACTGCATTTCATTATCTCTGACCTCCCCAGCCACAGGTGGTTAGAATAACAATTCAGGAATTCAACAAGGTTGTCCCCCAGGTGCCTCAGAGATAACCAGAAGGGCTCTAACATGGCTTTCAAAAGGACAGTTCCAATAAGCAGCCAAGCTAAGCCTGAGCCCTGAACCAAATGAGGTTTGCCTCTCATGCTACTGTTGTGAGCTATAATTCTCCACATTTCTGGAGTGCCTTCTACTTTAGGATGCATGACGACTTAAGAGACTTTAATTGACTCTCAACAAGCCTTTCGTAAGTATTATTTCCAATTCAGTGGCTAAGGAAAGCATAGCATAAAACATGAAACCATTGTCCAAATGCATGGCAATAAAGAGAAATTGCTGAAATAGTTCTCCCATTTTATGAAAAGTACAGCTTCTGTACCTGCCAAAAGTTATTGTGGGTTTTTTATAATTCATAAATAAGTCAACAGCATAAAAAAAAATATAGGTGGGAACATTTTTAGTGGACTGTCAATAGATATGAGCTCTCTCTTAAAAGGGAAATTGAAGAAAAGGGCAAGTTGGACAGGTTTCCAAGAGCATGTCAGCGTTTCTCAGAGATGCTACGATAAATCCATCACTTTCCAGAGATGCCACTTCAAAGGTAGCTACAAATAAGCCCTCAGAAACTGCAGGAAATTCAGTGCCTATGAAAAAGGAAGGAGCCGGGGGGACCCCACAACCAGCAAGCAATCAGCGTTGGTCCATGTTGTGATTCCATGTCGCAGGACTGGGAGCTGATCATGCCTCTCCGTAGGCAAAGAAATGGCAACTCCCCCCTTCCTTCAATCAAGGCTGGGACAAAGAAGATGTGTATCCTCTGGAAAAGACATAGTGAATTTGGAGAGTCCACACAAGAAGGGTCTATACCGTGGTACCTAAGGAAAGATTTCCAGTAGTCCAGCTCCATAAAAGCAGCAGTGATGCTGCAGAAGCCCTAACTCAGAGACAACTCTGTCAGTGTAGTCAATGCACCGATGTCCTTCCAGCAATCAATCTTGCTGCTGTTAGTGAAACTGCACCAGGATTTCAATTTAAAAGTTGAAAAAAATGCTTCATTACAACACAGTTCTAATTACTCCTTTTTTGTCCTATTTTACACCTTATTTGCCTAATATTGCTTTATCTTTTAGGTAAAACTAATGAGAAAACAATTAAACCAATTTCCTTCTTGTCCACGTCTAGCACAGCTTAAGAACTCGAGATTCTAGTTTTTCAGTTGTTACATTTATGAATACCTCACTCTTGTATTGCTCCTCTTGTTCCTGTTTGGTTTAATTTGTTATTAAATTTATTTAAAACCAAAGATATGTAAGATACTGAACAGGGAAACACACAAACACATGGCTCCAACCTTGTTCCAGATAACATGCAACACTTCCTCATGAGCTTCGCAACTCTATGAGAAGAAAACATGCACAGAACATGGCTAACATATTTCATGTAATGCTTCATGAATTGCATTACAACTCTCTAAAATCAAAGTTGATTCTACATCCTGAGAGAAAGTCTCGACCTCAGCACTGAGAGACTGAAGAAAATTAAATGCTAAGGGAAGATTCACATGAGCACATGGAGGCTACCCTAAGTAAAGTGTCCAAAAGGGTATTTAGATTGTATTTGACATGTCTTGCAGAGAGCAGTAAGACCACACGTCTTCCAAAGACAGTTCCAAAAGGATTTACATTTAGGTGTCACTGAACGCTTTGAAACTAGAATCTACTGTTAATCTGTGCTCTACTATTACATTATTCTGATGAGGAATTTTGCAAGCCTTTTGTAACACCTTATCAAAAGCTTAATTTAGTTTTAAAAATGGACTAGATGCTTCTTCACTGAACTGTCTCAGCAGAAGGGTCCTGAATGTTAGCATGTTTTCCTCTGACAGCAAACATTCAGCACACAACAACAAATACAAAAAGACAAGCATTTCAGAAGGATTCATCGAAAGATAAAAGACTTCTGTGCACGTGGGCAAATACACACGTATTAATACGTGTAAGATGAGCTTTGCCGCTGTAAAGTGGTTCAAGAAGATTCTGCTACAACACTTTCTCACAGAGAAACAGCACAGCTCTTAGTGAGGAAGAATTCTTCCAACTTAAACTGAGAAGTTCCAGTGCAAAGGTCTGCACGAAGGTATCATTAACTCATCACAAAAACCTGACCACAGCTAAGGCAGTGTTACTTGACCCATCAGCAGCTGACATTCCGTACATGCCTCTGTACAGTCCAGATCCTGGAAATAAAACACAAGAATATTATTTAGCCAAAAATGGACTCATTGTTCTGAACAGCTCATATGCCCGTGCAAGTCGCTTCCAAGCTTAAGAGCCTGAAGTCAGGCAGGGGCTCCCTGAAGCAGCATTTATCTGGTCACACACATCCAGATGACAGCACTGCTGTTCTCATTAGGATGACAACTTCTGGTACTGACAAGTGACTCTTAAAATGTTCTTCTTTGCAGAAGCACCTCACTTTTGAATAATAGGGATATTCTTGGTAGAATAATCAGCTTTTTTTTTTTAATTGAGAATTCATATATACAGCCTGTGGAACTCTGTGCAAATGAATACAAAGGAAGAACTTTGTAAAATACAGTGCCTTTTGGATTGATCTCACAGTTATTTATATATACATTGGCAAGAATTGCTCAGTGCAACCTCCCCCTCCCATGTCTGTTCCTGACACTGCATTAAAAAAGAAGACAGTCCAGCCTGAGACTTTTTTTTTTCAGAGGCACTGAAGTAGGCTTGCTCAATCACTCTGTCTTGAGACGGAGAGCCTCCCGCCGCTGCTGCTGAACAGTCCTGGAATCTTCCCACAGACGGGGTCCTCTGATGTTCTCCCAGTTATCCAAGTCAGACTTTTCCAGCTTCTGCAGACAAACAGCAAAAATCACAGTGTCACCTTGGCAACCCCATGATTTAAAGTATGTATTACTGTAAGTTTTTTTCTTTTAGCACAGGAAACTCCGTATCACTACTGGGTTGATAACTTCAACCTACCCTCAAGAGAACTTCAACAACAAGGGAAAAAATATTTAGGAGTTACCCATACAGGTACATAAATGACTAGAGTGGGCATTACTGCATCTGCTTAGCAACAGATAAATAACAAGTAAGGACGGGAAGCATAATAGCATCTGAACATGACTGAAGATATCTTGTATTCACTTTTCCTTTCTTCTCTCACCCCGTTTTCCAGATCTGTTCTTCAACTGCAAGTCTGCCAAGTACTGAAGTAGTAGGAGCAATAAGCATTGGTAGAGCTCAAACAGAAGATTAGTAATTAGTGACCTGAAGTATCCTGTCAGCACAGATACAAAGCATACTAGAAAAGAGGAACTACCTAGCACACAGAGAGACAGCAACAGTGCAATCCCCTTCAATCCACATGTTTTTAACTTGAGAGAGGTATGCAATCCCTCTGCTGCTTAGTTTCTCATGGCACCCAGACGTCACAGAAAGGTCTCTCACTAAGTCATACATGAGATATGCTAACTGGCTTAACTGTCAGCTATGTTAAAACTATCTAGATTTCCATTACCTCCTTGCCTATTCCTATCATCCCCACTCAGAAATGCCAATGACTGCAGTACTTATTGAGCCTTAGAGGTGCACAAAAATGAAGAACAGGCACTCTCCTCACCTCATCTATGAAGTGCTGCAGTTGAAGAAGACAAACATTTACTGCGTCTTCGAGTCTGACTGGCAGAGACACAGAAGTCTGTTCCCAGCAGAACCAGACCTCAAGTCCCACACACTAGTCTGGAAGAGTACATCAGACATGAAGGGGCTTTGCCAGACCGAGGAGGGGTGCTTCTACATGCTACTGCAGAGGGCAATACTGCATACCATTAATGATACATACCGCAGTGGGATAGAAACCTCTGATTTGTGATCAGGACCTCATCTCAGTAAATGCTGTAAAAATACACCAGAAAATACTTAACCCTGCCCTGAGCCTGTGTTCTAATTTGCCTGCCATCAATCATCCAAATAAATGGCAAATACTGAGGGGACTTGAATAATAGTGGCAGAATAATTCAACAGCGAGAACAGAACAGACCTGCTGCTATTAGCTCATGTTATGTAAAAGTTTTCTGCCACTTCCACAATTGAGGAAATTGCAACGAGGTTAGTCAGATATCAAGAGAAATTAGACAACATTCAACAGAAGATATATGAGAACACATGCACAAACACAGCAGACTTTCACAAGGTAGAAGCAACTGAATTTTTTATACAGTGGCATTGGCATAGGTCTTTCTGAAGAATTGTCTTCAGTACTTAATATGTCTTACGATCAGCTGGTATTTCATTTCAACTGGAAGAGATCTGAGCTGACGTGGAAGGAAGGACAAGGACGGAAGGTACCCATCGTCCCGCAGCGACTATCCACTCTGATTGCAAATTCAGAATCTAACATCTGATTCTAATGGAAGCTTCAAGGAAACTACATTGAAAATAACCTTGTGCTTTAACAGAAAATAAGCAGGCTGATTTTGTTAAACATAAATTTACCACACAGCTGTGAGGATCTAAAATACTCCCAAAGGTGCTCAGCTCCCCAAGTCTGAACAAGAATCAACATTTAAAATACATACAACAAAACTTGTACTATCTAAAGATTGGCTATATAAAGAAGTCTATCAAGAGAGACATGCGCACTGCAGATCTTTACCAAAAGTTCATATTCATCTGCTCCTGAAATTTCACAAAGGCTTTTCAGAGAGGATGTTTGTCCAAAACAGGAAATATTTCAATCTAAACAATCAAACAATCTAAACCAGGACAAGAAAGTAGGTTGTCAGTTTCCAATAGAAAGCATAAAGATACCTGAGAAACACACTGTGATCTACTGACAGAATAAAACAATCACAGATTATGTAAACAGCATTGCCTCGAACTACAGAACAGATGAGAACTATTGACAGAGTTAATTTTTGTCATTTAAAATATAAAGAATTAAAGATTCTAAGGAATACAGAGAGAGAGAGACTGTATTTTTATTTTTTATTCTCATTATATTTATAGAGTTGATTAATATTTTGTGTCATGTATAAAGATTGCTTTTGAAACCTTGCTGCAATTCAAGAAGAGAGCACCTTCCTTACAGGCACATGACAGTATCCGCAAAAATTAGTAGTTTATGGGACAGGAAGGCAGCATCTCGCAATCCAATTTTTTAAACTGATGCTATCAAGCTTTGAAAGAATAGAGGATCCCTGTTGAATAGAGGATGTGAATAAGCATAAAAAGGAGTATCACTGGTGAAAGTGGACCCGAAAATCTGCTCTGCGATGCCTTCCTACTGTGTAGTTATTTTCACACAGATCTACCTGTGCTGGTTTTGGCTGAGGGAGAGTTAATTTTCTTCACAGCAGCGAGTTATGGGGCTGTGTTTTGGATTTGTGCTGAGAACAGTATTTATAATACAGGATGGTTTCGTTATTGCTGAGCAGGGCTTTTCTGCTCCTCACCCCCCCCCGCCAGCGAGCAGGACAGGGGTGCGCAAGCGGTTGTGAGGGGACACAGCTGGGACAGCTGACCCCAGCTGACCACAGGAATATTCTGTGACATGTGATGACGTGCTCAGCAACGTAAAGCCAGGGGAAAAAGGAAGAGGGGAACGTTTGGAGTGATGGTGTTTGTCTTCCCAAGTAACCATTATGGGTGATGGAGCCCTGCTTTCCTGGCGATGGCTGAACACCTGCTGGCCCACGGGAAGCAATGAATTAATTCCCTTTTTTGCTTTGCTTGCATGTGCAGCTTTTGCTTTACTTATTAAACTGTCTTTATCTCAAGGCACAAGTTTTCTCAGTTTTACCCTGCTGATTCTGTCCCCCATCCCACCGGGGGCAGTGAGCGAGTGGCTGCGCAGTGATTAGCTGCCAGCCGGGGTTACCAGCATCACCCCAGAATAGATGGCTACATCAGCAGTAGGCTAAAGATTAGATTAGGCCAACGATAGGTACGTAAGCTACATTTTAAATTAATCTTAATGCTCAGAATAAGACCAAACTGACAGTCGTCCTACCGACGAGGGGCAGCACAAGTTATGCAGCTCCTTCAGGTTGCCCGGGCTGTACAGTGAGAATTCAGGCAAACAGCTAGTTCTGCCCTCGGATGAAGTCAACTTCTTTCTTTCTAATTGACTGTATCTTTTTAATTTCTTACTTTATTTCTTTTTTTTTTTCTTTTTGGCTACCTGGACTCTGCTGACCTAACTTCACAGAGATATCACATAAAGATGGTAACTACTTCCAGCTTTTACTAAATTGAAATCCATATGAACTGGCAGCCTAAAACCCGAAAAGCTTTTTCTCCCAATTTAAATGTACTAAATAGTCAGTCATTGGAGACTACAATGAAATGTAATCAGATCAGACCAGCACCGCTATTCCTGCTTGTCTCAAATAGCCCAAAGGATATTGAAAATTAGCTGTTTAAACTAAGATCAGTGTAGTCCATTAAACCTACTGATTCACTTCCTAAATCAGCTAAACTGCCTCTTAAAAGTATGGGACTGACAGAAGCTGTAAATTCAAGAAAAAAAATGCAGCTATGCAGAGAGGCAAAGCGAACAGGGAAAAAAAAAAGTTCAACTGTTTGCCATACACTTGACTTTTAAGACTTTTGTTACACAGTTTGCCTGGCACAAAGGTATCAATAAGGATGTAGAGAGACCTTCACTTCTTAATTGCTGGTTCAAATGCCTGGCTTGATATTAAGTAAAAGTCCTAATGCTCTGCCAGCCTACCCTTGCAGGACAGTCTTCATGCCACAATAAGCAAAATGAAATCTGCAGAAACTCATTTAGAGCTACTGGTGCTCAGCCCGAGCTAATTCAAGGCAGTCACTTGCAAAAAAAGGTTTGGCTGTAGTCTCTGTTTCCCACATGTGAAAGGGGGGGATAAGAAAATCCTGTTTAACTGACAGCTTGATTTAAAGTAAATTTACTTACTTTATTTACACTTATTTGTTTATTTATTTTTTACTTATTTACATTTACTTTACTTTTTCAATTTCCTTCTGTGAGGAGCACCACAGAAAGAAATTACTCTAATTCAGAGAAATAATTATTTTCTGTCGTTATAGTAAGCAAACCCATCTGCAGATAGAAGATGACCCAGGGAAAAAATATCCTCATGGCTGAAAGATGCAGTGAAAGAAATGCATTAAACCAGTCCGGTTTTGTAAGGGTGTCAAAACAGCTTGAAGACTGTAAAAGATATACTAAGGAACTCTATGATGGTGCATAGATGCAGAGGTACAGAATTAAGGCTAACACTGAATCTGCTGCCTTGTGCGTGACTGAAAATACTAACTTTATCATCACACTGATTTGGATTTATTGGGTTTTTTACAACTCTTTCCCAGAGCCACCTTTTTGACATCTCATTTTCTTAATATAAACTTAGTGTTACTTACTTTGTTGAGGATGTGACATAATTTATTATCTGTGATTAGTGATTTAACAATGCATAATTTAACAGCCTGTGATCAGTGATTTAATCCTTAGATTAAAAAGAAGTACTTTTTCTAACTAGAGAACGTTTAGTTTTTATGTTATTAGTATACAAGCATGTCAGCAAGCAGCATGCTATGGCCAGAATAAGGTTTTTTGGTTCATTAAGGGAAGAAATGGGGGGGGGGGGGGTTGCCAGAGATCTGCCTCTTTTCTGGACTTTGCTGAAGACTGGCAAACCCCAAAAAACTGGCAATGATGTAACCAACAGAGGGTTTGTTGCCTACTTCAGTGGGACCAAATACCATCAAGCTATGGCACAATAATTAACCTATGGTAAACTGGTTTGAGAGACTCTTTCCCCATAGGTTATTTTTCCTTTAATCATGCCAATTCATCACTCTG